CTGAATAATAAAATGCGCTCTCAGCCCCACCTACCTCACAAGGTGTTGTGGGGAGGGGGAGGAAAAGGAGTTTGTAAGCCGCTCTGAGAGAAGGACTGGGGAATAAATCCAATCTCTTCTTCTATTTTACTGCAAAAAACATTGATTTTTTAAAAAGAGACTATCTTGTTCACTTGCACCTCTCCTCCATATATTGAGTAGCTCTTGTGACAACTCAAAGTACCTTTTAACATTGTACTCCTTTAATATTAACACTTTCTAGACATATCATGCTTTATCCTTGTTTAAAACAAATACTCAAAGACACAGTGCTCATCTGCAAAAACAGCACTTTCGTTTGCAGACATCTTCTTACAGAAATTTTAGCAGAGCAGCAGTTGCAGTTTCAATATAATCCTTGAATAAATAAAAATTTGAGAAGTATAGTTTCAGCAGCCTAACTCTTCCCTTTCCCATCAAATCCACCCCACTCTAGCTGCTATTAGCTGGAGATTTTCAGTTCGACCATGACAGAGACCCCTACCTCCCTATCCACTACAGTTCTCGGAAGTATTGGGCTATATGCCCAGGCTAAGAAAATTTTTCTAAATAATGGATTATGAATCTGACCTACCAGATGGCAGACTTGCAATCCTAAATACATTGAATACTATGAGATTTATTTCTTAATAAACACACTGCCTTAAGGTTTAAATCTACACATGCTAATACTTAAAAATTGGAAGGCCCTCCAAAAAAGGGCAGGTAGAGAAAGAGCGAATGAAAGGGCAACCTCCCAACTAGATCAGAGGATATGCCATTAAGTTGGCTTCAAATCAAATGCAGAGTGCACAAAATGGCAGCCGGGGGGAGTGGAACTTGGCTGGAGAAAGATGTGGGAAGGGGAATCCCATACACTTCCCTGTTCCCTCAACCCAAGGGGCCATTCACTGGCTCCTGAAATCACAGATGCATGAGACGACTCCTAGCTGGAGTGGGTGGGGAAGGAAAAGCAGAAGCAAGAAGTCAGAGCAACCAGCTCTTATTGAGGAAGGAAGAATGCTTTTGCTTGCAGCAGCAACCTCATCAGTAACCTTGATGGGTGCAACCTCTAGAAATGTTCAGTATGCAAAACACTTTGTATCTTTTTTGCAAAAATACTGGCCCTTTCACTGTCCTTTTCCTGCATTTTTTGCAAGATTAGGCCAGACATTTCCAGCACCCATTCACACAGCTGTGTTACCTTACTTACATATACATATAGTCTTCAACATGGTAGTGAATGGAGGGTGGGGGAGTGAAAAAGCTGAGTGGTACAGGTACCTGAGCTTTGCTTGCTAGCAAAGCACCCAAAATGGCCAAAACGCTAGTATGGAGGGTAGGACCATGAGCATAGCTGACAAAAGGAACAGTGTTGTTATTGTGTTTTTTGCAAGAAAGGGACCAGAGGACCAAGAGCATAGCTGACAGAAGGAACAGTGTTGCTATTGTGTTTTTTGCAAGAAAGGGACCAGAAGAACAGCAGTAGGTGGTGCCTCATGAGGCAGGAAGAACAGTGTGGGTCTGAGGGAAAACACCTTGAGAGTGATAGGTGCAAGCAAGCAGGTTGGAGAGGCACACATGTGGCTCATGGGTTGGGGACCCCTGTTCTATAGGTTTGGCATATACACAACTTAAGATTTTTCACATGACTAAAATGTCCTATAACTATCAAAACTAAGGAGGCCTACTACAGTACAATCCTTGACAGTTGCAGCCCTCAAAGCCCAATGAAGTCAATGGACTTAGAAATAAGTCATGATACTCACGTGACACCAATGAAGTTATACCATTGCTTTTATGGTAATTTAAGAAGCAGCAGCAGATGGTCCCTACATCAAGTCAATCCCAGACGTTGCCTAGACCTCAGCTGCTAACCTACAAGGTGAAGTATAGAGAAGTTACCAGTTCTAGCAATACAGCTCATTGAAAAAAAATTCTACTGGTGGCATAACCTCAGAAGCCAGATCCGTATTTGAGATTTCTCATCAAGAGCTCAGGTTCGGGATAGGTTCATCACTGGCTGGACCAATTCCAACATAAGAACATAAGGGAAGCCAGTGTACCAATTCCAACATAAGAACATAAGAGAAGCCAATGTTGGATCAGGCCAATGGCCCATCTAATCCAACACCATGTCACACAGTGGCCAAAAATACCAGGTGCCATCAGGAGGTCCACCAGTGGGGCCAGTGGGACCTTTTGTCAAATGTCACAATTTGTTAATATACATACCTTTGTAGGCAGCAATTTCAGCAGCATGTTAACAGCCTAAAAAAAGGTAAAAGGCAAACTTAAAAGGATGGCTTAGTTGTTATAATTTCCCATCTACTGACCAATGCTCCCTTTAAGCTGTGGAGTCTTGTGATCAAAAATTCTACTTTGTGAGCTACTGACATTAAAGTTGTGAGCGAGCGATTTGGCTACTGCACAGTTTGCTCTGGAGCCATTCTTCCTGACTTAAGACAAAAGTGACTAACTCACCTTAGAGGGAACACTGCTAGTAACATTCAAATTCACCCTTCATTTGAAGTAGTGCTATAAAGAATCTCTTTTTAAAAGAGATTTTTATTTTACTTCCCAATGTACTGCAGCAGAAAAACCACAGCTCCCAGCCATGTTTTTAAATGAAGAGTGGTCCATATCTATGGTCCAGTGTTAGGATTACTGCAGACATAATGACCTGCTGTCAGTATCCAGAAAGCCACACATAGAAGCAGCATGAGTAACATGTCAAATTTAAAGGACATGACAGGCACAGCAACATACCCAAACCACTTTACTCACTGAAATTACAATAGTCTGTAAAGCATTTGACCCCAAGTCTGTTGAACTCCTAACCTCAGTAATTTTGCCTAAAACAGTTCTGCTAACATTCTACATGGCTTTGCAAAATGAGTTACTTGCTTATTTCCAGCATGATCTTTAACACATCTTTTTCTGAACAAACTAAGAATCTCAGAAGCCAGATCCGTATAGTATTTTTCATCAGAAATATCAGGTTCGGGATAGGCTCATCATTGACATAACTTCAGCTCTGGTCTCTTTTCTTATGCAGCTAACCATAGGGAAAAATTCTGCATGGTTGTCCAGCAGTTTACCTGATGGCCACTTTTATAACTGCGTACCAGAGAACACATTCATTCTTTTTCGTTCCCCTTCAGGAAGTTTTGCAATCTGAAAAAAATCCAGAAGTGGAAAAGGAAGTTACAATTATTAAATATTATGATTCCTAGAATTTAGAACAAATCAAAAATTACCCATGACTTTGGTAGAAATCAGCACTTAAAAGCCTTCCTTGGGAAACAAACAATCAGCAAAATCAGTGGCTACTAAACACAAAACTTTACAACATTAACAAGCTGTTGTAAAAATATTAGCAGTTTACATAGTTATGACTTGACACAACTGTGAAACTATTAATAAAAGAGAAGCTGCCCATCCACATTGCTGAGCAAATTGCAGTGATTTAGGATCATGGTATGGGGAACACCTTTATTCAAAGCATAGCACAGAGGTCCCCAGTGTGCCAGTCAACACCTTTTCTGATGAAAGCCAAGTGTTTTTGGGAAGTGGGTGGAGCCAGTAGGGCTTTTGCAAGGGACTGGATTGACTACTTGAGATCTGATTAGCTGTGCGGTTTTTAAATGTTGTCAAGGAAAAAACTGCCATCACAGCAGAAGATCTACAATGTGCTACTGAAATTAAGCTGTGGCAATAATTTTGTGGCTGGCTCCATCTTCTACGGCAGCCATTTTGTTGCTGTGCCCACTATGCCATGTCAGAATTCCAAAAGTGCTCACAGTCTCAAAAAGGGCTGGGGACCCTTGGCATAGCTCATTCATTCATTAGATTACTTCAGCCATACAGATACACCACCATCATTTCATGCAGAGATATATAAAAGCAACAAATAAATGATAAACTGTGTCTCTTCAGAAAAGATTCAATAGTTGAGACTAAAACCTGAAGTGGCATTACTTGTGGGAAAATATCGGGACCATTTTATAAATGCAAGCCAGAAGTTTATATGCTTTTATAGGTTAATATGGAAATTTACCTCCTTTCCTTGTATGCAACGTGACAACACCAGAACAGCATCTAGCCCCCATGGGTACTGGAACAAACAGAAAAGACTGAATGAGATTAACAGAATGAGTGTAAACGTTAAACAGCCTTTATAGAAGGCTCAAAAAAAACCCTTGTTGCACAATCCAACCATAGTTGAGTTTTCTAAAGATACAATCATTTCACTGACAAATTAAGCATTGCTGTATTCTCCCATGAAATTGACAAAGAGTGTACATACTAACCTAAATGGCCACACACTTGTAACTGATTAATTTGTTCCCAAACTGCTTTCATGTTATCAGTTAATTGCCATTCACATTGAAAAGCCCTATGGATGCTTACTTAACAGTCAATCAATAAGGGCCAACACAGCACTTAAACAAATGAATTAAATTGAGGAGCTTTAACACTATTTTAAATAGGACTAGGCTCTAGAAATGTTTTAAACGTTCTTGCAGAAAAGCGTAGGTTGTTTTCCATGACCCACACTCGTTACTTACAGGCTGTTGCATCCGAAATGCAGGCATACATGCTTCAAGGCAAATGCTACCGATTGCAGCAGAATCACTCCTACATAATGTTGCATTTAAGACTTTTTAAGCATTTAACTAAGGGCCAATCGCCAATAGATAATTAGCCTCCACGTGGCATGGCCTAAAAATACTCGACTCAGAAGCCTTTCCCTCCGGCCTACAACTCCCAGCAAGCCACTCACCTTCGAATTCCCCTTACGCATCAGCCCTACGATCGCTGAGGAGAGGTCGTAACTAAATCGTCTGTACTCCTAGGGGCAACCGATAACACAAATAACTAGCTCACACTAAACAGACGTACTCGAAAATAAAAAAGCTTCTATAGGTGACGGGAGCCAAAAAAATTAACCTACCTCCAAAATGGCGACTTCCAACGAACCGACCCATTACTGCCCGAATAAAGAACGTGCGGTGGACCTTGCAAGTCCTTATATAGAAATGAACGTCCGAGGCCAGCCACGCCCCCAATCTCCCCCTCTCCTTCTCATTGGATGTAGAAGGAAAAGGGAAGCCGAGTCTTTTTTAAAAAGCCTATCACAGCCTATAGTAATGCTCGCTGTTAAGCCATACCCACTAGAGATCGTGTTTGGCTGGTTTGAATCTTTCTCTATGGTTTGAACTCATGTCCGTCTTTCTATAGTCTGTTTCCGGATAGCTGAAGTAACTGGCGTCCTAGGTTTAGAGGTATAAGAAGGGCGAAATCCGCCTGGTTGTTTCCGTGTTCTGAGAATCAGGGAGACCTTAACGAGCCCTTGCCACGTCTCTTGTACTGATGCTGTTCTTCCAGGCGGGTTCGAGCCTTGTCTGTGTAGCTCGCTCGTCGTTACTGTTCTTTGCTGCCTTTAACGCAGTCCTAGTGGCTCAAGTCCTGCCAACCTAGCAGTTCGAAAGCAAGAAATTGCAAGTAGATAAATAGGTACCACTTCGGTGGGAAGGTAACAGCGTTCCGTGCGCCTTGGTGTTTAGTCATGCCGGCCACATGACCACGGAAACGTCTTCGGACAGCGCTGGCTCTTCGGCTTGGAAACGGAGATGAGCACCGCAACCCTAGAGTCGGATTCGACTGGCTTTCGAGCAAGGGAACCTTTACCTTTTAGTGGCTCAAGAGCCCGTCCCCGTACGGCTCTTTGATAGGCCACCTGTGGCTCACTCTGAGCACCATTCCTCCCTATGAGGCCTGCCCCGTCAGAAAAGGGGGGAGGTTACTGTCCGGTAGGCGGTTTGCAGCGTGCAACAGCCGCTGCTAGTTGGATTGGAGGATAGATAAGCTGTGCACGTCCCGGAGCTCCAGGTCTCATGCTATGGACGGAAGAACCTGTGCTCTCCGACGCCCCCACCCATATCTGCAGTCTCTGTACTCGGTTGGCTGCCAGAATGTGAGCAAGCCGGCCACAGCAAAGACAGAGTAAAAGCCACAGCCGCCCAGTAAAACAGAGCAAGCTGGCCGTTGTGTGGCCTTTGTCTGGCCATGGGAGGAGTGATGCTCCCGTTTGTCCATAGCCAGCTTGCTTTCTGTTGGGAGTCTTGGCAATCTCACTCTCTTGCCTGAGCTGTTATGCCTCATGCTGTGGAGAGAAGAAGGCAGAAATACACAAGAGCTGGCTACAGTTCAGTGGTGGGGAGAAATAGTCCGATGTGCTCAAAGATACTCTGGTAATTAAAAGTTATATAAGGTGGGGTAGTATGTGGAGTATTTAGTAGTCAACTGGCCACTGCTTTAATAACCGGGAGGGTTAATACATATCTGGCAGCAAAGGTCAGCAAAGCATAAACAGGCAGTGCTGTGCTGCTTGGTGGCCCCCACCGTGTTCAGGCTAGGAATGCAAAGGACAGAGGCAAGCCCTTGCAGCACTTTCTGAAAGACAAGTGAATCCTTTTCTGTTGTTTGCAAACCACATTTAACATCCATCTATAAGCTGTATAATGAAACTGGTTGTCCAGAGCCATAGAGGTAAAGCTTGAGTCAGGCTGGATGTAAGTGTTTCAGTACTGTTACTGTCTTGGAATAATTGAAGTAATCAGTGACATTTTACAATTATGTATTTATTTTTTCATATACAAGAGCACACTCATATTTTCATAGTAAATATCTTATAAGGTATAGGTAAAGGTTTCCCTTGCTCGAAAGCCAGTCTACTCTGACTCTAGGGGGTGGTGCTCATCTCCGTTTCCAAGCCGAAGAGCCAGCACTGTCCGAAGACTTTTCCATGGTCATGTGGCTGGCATGACTAAATGCCGAGGTGCACGGAACACTGTTAACTTCCCACCAAAATAGTGCCTGTTTATCTATTTGCAGTTTCTTGCTTTCGTACTGCTAGGTTGGCAGGAGCTGGGCCCAGAGACAGGAGCTCACTCCATCACACGGCACTAGGATTTTGAACTCCCAAGCTACCAACTTTCTGGTCTGCAGTTCAGCGTTGTAACCTCTGAGCCACCGTGGCCCTAAATATCTGTTAGGAGTGCTAAAATAGGATAAAACAAGCAAGAACCCGCAAGGACTTGCAGGCGTAATCTCATTTTCCCCTCCTCCACTATTTCCTCTTTTCCTTCCCTGAAAACCTCCTGAAAGTCCCCATAGTCCTGTTTCCTGCTTCCTTCTTTAGGGTTGCCAGCTCCAGGTTGGGAAATTCCTGGAGATATTGGGTTTGAGCCTGGGGGGGGGGAGGTTTGAGGAGGAAAATGATCTCTGCAGGGCATTATGCCATTGAGTCCACCCTCCAAAATAGCCATTTTCTCCAGGGTAACTGATCTCTGTCATCTGGAGATCAGTTGTAATTCTGGATGATCTCCAGCCCCCAACTGGAGGTTGGCAACCATAGTTCCCATGAAGAAATAGCCTTGGAGGGTGACATCTATGGCACTATGACCTTCTGAGGTCCTTCCCATCCTCAAACCCCACCATCCCCAAGCTCCACTCTGCCTTGGAGGGTGACGTCTATGGCACTATGACCTTCTAAGGTCCTTCCCATACTCAAACCCCACCATCCCCAAGCTCCACTTCCCAAATCTCCAGGTATTTCCTAACTTGGAATTGGTAACCCTATCTCCTTCCCACATATCAGCCAACCTACCTTTATCTGCCCCTCTGTCTACAGTTTTCCTCCCTTCCCCTCCCCCGGAAACCTTTGCCTGGGAAAACTGTGGCCTAGTTGTGTGGTGCCGGCCACTGGGCCAGGCCCACTTGTAGGGTAGGGAACACTCAAGGACTTGTGGGGTGGCACCTCCCTTTCCCCTCTATCACCGTCCCCACACTATTTCCTCTCTCCCTGGCAACCCCCATATCATCTCCCCTTCCCCTGCCTCAGTCTCGCCTTCTCAGCCATTCACCAACCTAACTTTTACCTGCTTTCCATCTTCAACTATATTTATTATTTATTTCATTTTTACCCCACCTTTCTTTTTATCTGCACAACAACCTTTTGAGATAGGTTAGGCTGAAGGCATGTGACTGGTCCAAAATCACCTACTGAGCTTCTGTAGCAAGATGAGGATTTGAACCTATCCCAGACCTAGACTGAAGCTCTAATTGCTATACCACACTGGCTTTCATAGGGCTGCTGCTGTTGAACTGTAGCAAGCAGACAGGCCTGACAGAAACGGAAGCCTGGAATGCTGTGGCTGCCTAGCAATAGCCACTGAAGGAACCTGTTGGGGTTTTTTTAAAGCTACAGCACTCCTTTTATCATTTTCAGGTTTTTAAGCACTCCAGCATAGGTATTAGAGGAATCCAGTTATCATGAATTTATAGTATTATTCTGAAGGCAAGTACAGAATAAAAAAAGTATAAAATTTCCAAAACTTGCTACTTCTAGAACAACATAACATGAATTGTTACTTACTTAGTTTACTTATAAAATTACACGATTTGGCAATTTTATGAACATTAAAAGTAATAAATACCTTTGTTTTCTCCAAGCAAAATTGCAAATATATCCAGTACCAGAGAGAGAAATGCAAACTGCTGCTGCCATACTACCTTAGCACATGTATCTTAGTTTTTGGAGCCTGAGAGAGGAAAAACGAAAGTTGAACGTATACAGCACAAATTCTGTGTAAATAAAAAGGGAATGATTTGGACAGGAATGGTTTCATACAGTCACAACAGAATTAGCAATGTGTTTGTATACTGAGTTCAGCTTTGTAATAAAGACCTTGAACTCTTCAATCATGTACTATTGTCATACATATTATGGGCAAAAATTACTCACATTTAATAAAAAAGCATATCCTTAAAATATGTTGTATAGGTCTACAGTATACACAAGAATTGACATTCCATTGTTGTTGACTATCTTACATAAAAATCTTTATGCTACTTATTTTGAGTGAGTAAAACCTTGTCTTAAACATTGTACTGATTCAAAAAAAAAAAATATTTCACTGTAATTTATTTTAGTGCACCTCAAAATTCCCAGTGTTCCTAATGGAAAAACTAAAATATTGCGGGGGGGGGGGGCTGTGGTAATTATTTTGTCATAGCCTATTTTGGCAAAGTTCATGCCTTACTCCAGACTGAATGCCAGGACCTTTGCTGCTGCCTGTACTCCCTGCCGCAAAAGCATTTTTCTTCTTGAGTCAGACAAAAAATAAGATGTAAACAGGGATAACATCTTTTTCACCAGGTTGGAAATTATGCAGTATTTTAACTTACAACTGTCTTTTGGCACTCGTGATTAAGGGTGCCAACTCTGGATTGGGAAATTACTGGAGATTTAGAGTAGAGCCTGGGGAGGAACCACAGTGTGGTATAATGCCACAAAATCCAGTCACCCTCCAAAGCAGCCATTTTCTTCAGAGACCTGCATACCTGAGGGACCGCCTTTCCCCAGATGTCTCCCAGAGAGCACTGCGGTCGGGGACCCAGAATCGGCTGGTCCTCCCAAACATCAAGGAGGCCAGGCTAGCGATAACTAGGGCTAGGGCTTTCTCGTGGCGGCTCCATTCTGGTGGAATGAGCTCCTGGAGGAGATCAGGACCCTGCGGGACCCATTACAGTTTCGCAGGGCCTGTAAAACGGAACTCTTCCACCAGGCTTTTGGAGCCGCCGCCACCACTGCCACCATTGATATCTGACAGCCTATGAAGAGCAAGCCTTACCATCTGGGTCCCACAAATGCAGCTCGAGCCGACCGCCTGGACATTTGAGGAATATTAAGAAACTGACTGTATGCCGACCGAGGATTGAACACTAGCACTTTAATATGTTGTAATATTTATAGTTTTAAATTGTGTATTGATGGCTTTTATATTGTAGATTTTATTGTCACATTGCAGTGTTTTATACTGGTTGTGTAAGCCGCCCTGAGCCAGCTACGCTGGAAGGGCGGGGTAAAAATCAAATAAATAATAATAAGTTATATACACCAACACTTGTGCTTATACAAAACAATTGTAGCTTTTTCATAGCTACCTA